CGGAACCTGCCGTAGGTTCACAGTTATGCGGTAGTTAATTGTCAGTCAATATTTGGATGAAAAATACAAAATATAAAACAATCCAATGGGGAAAACATGACCACATATTCGTTAACCACGTCATAGTCCATCACTGACCTATGCTAGCGCAGTTGTGAACCATGGGAAACGTTTGTCTGAAATGACACCTTTCGGCCCACGAATATAAATAATTCCGCCGCAAAGTTCGAAGTACCGTGGTCACGTATGACTGACGCGAACCTATGCTAGCGCAGTCGTCCGAACTACAACACGTCCGCATGAAAATCTAAATAAAACAAACGACGCGAAACGAGCACGGCGGTAGCTGATCGCACCGTCTTGTACTGCGTGGCGACATATGCTAACGTCGACGCGCACGCGAGTTTTTCGCACGCGGTTGGAAACTCGGAGCTGCGACTAGCACCCTATTTTGTATTTCGTATGTTGACATTTCTTTTGGAACAAGAAGCAATATTTTCCTGTTGAGATGTTTCGTAACTTGAACATTTGGTATGAAGAGACGTTCCTAAGTAGAGGTACCACTTGTATTTCGACTCTCTGCGACTCAAGCGTCAACACAACTGAAGCACATGATGAAGAGCTGTCGTTCGGCCGCTTTGGTTCGAACCTCTCCGTGAAGGATGTTTCAGGACATTCGGACTGATGGTTTTTAACGAACTGCATCTTATGAGCGCAAGCGCTTGTGGAGCACTTTGAGTGTATACGATGCGCCAGATGGGACTGTAAACAGGCTCCAGCGTACAAAAAAAAAATAATAAAAAAACGTTAGCGGTACGAAGCGGCTTGACGCGTTAAGTGTAACTGTCAAGAGAGGCGCTTTGTTGCGTCGCCTCGTTTCTCGGGCTGGCTCTCTCGGTCGCGGTCAAGGCAGGCGCGGTTGTTTGAAGCGGCCGTCGGTCGAGGGAGGCTACAAAGCGCGTTTCTCCGCGTTATCGGCAGGACAGACCCCATCGCGCTAATCGCCCTGCTCCAGAGACAGCCGGAGGTAAAACCGAGCGCGGATGGGTGCGCAGCATCCAGAAAGAGGATGAAAAAAAATGAGAGGCACATTGGAAAGGAGCTAGGGGCTGCAATAGGAAGGGAGGAGACAGCGGAGGTGGTGGAAAGGATGTCGGGGGGGGCGATGGGGGTTAGGATATGTTTATATCTGTCTTGCGTTACATCAAGTGACAGCCGCATGACATCTCGGTGCATAGCAGAGCAAAAATCGTTTGGTCGAGAGAGAGAGAGAGAGAGAGAGAGAGAGAGAGGTGAGTTTATAAACAGTCCTGCCAGCAAGTCTCTTAGCAACCACGCGGTTGGAAGCGTCCTTCGGAAGTGGCTGGAACAGGAAATGGGAAAATGGAGCCTCCGTCTCATTTTTAGGGCACTGAATGACTGCGTAAACGAATCACACCGTCGATGACCTTTTGCCTCCATGGTTGTGGAAAGTTATTCTTCACGAGACACTTGATGAACGAGTTGAGAACTGAATAGATTCCGGGTCTCTGTCCGCCAAGGCCAAACAATCAGTTTGCAGCAGTTCCGTGACTCATACGAGGCCACTTGAAAGCAAATGAAAATATGCGTCCGTACGCTTTGTGAGAGTTTTGCGCAAAGCAGCCGAGCCGGAGTAGAACACGATCGCATGTGAGATTTGGTGTCACTTTTGAGTCCTCAGCGGTCCCCCCCCCCTCCAGCGCGGGGCTCAAAAGGTTTTGGATCCATCTGGAATGGTTCGCGGCTGTGGCAGCACCTGGTGGAAACTGGCTGAGAATTAAACGCCTTCAAAAGTTGGCTCTCACGCCAGTTTTGGTCACGGCCGTGTGGACGATGTCGATCTTCGGGCTATCTGGCGCGATTTTTGGCCGCTCCGTGGGAGAAGAGGCCACGCAACGAGTCAACGTCCCCCAGTTATGTTTGCTCAGCCCAAAGAACGTCCCCCCCCCGTCGCTTGTTTTGTTCAGAGCAGGAAGTGTGACCCCGCCGTCGGGTAATGAAACGACATTATGATCATGCGTCGGAGCCGGCGGAATCCAGGTGAGCTTGTTAACCCCGCGGCTCATTGTGATACGCTGTGTTCCATTCGCCACACTTGATTTACCGCCGCGACCGGTTTAAGGGAAAGACAATTGGATCGGGCGCTATTGATAATTAGTTTTTAATGCGCCACACTCATCATGTCCAATTTCATGCCCCTTAGGCAGCTGATCGCAGATTTAATCAACACATTATTGCTTGCTGTACTTAAACTTAGGGAAGGGTGGTTGGGGGTCAACGGGGGTGGGGG